ATCTCTATCGCTTGTTATACCAGTGTCAGGTGGACACTTGCTTTGTGAGTAATATGAATTTTAAATAAACATATATAGTTTTTACGTACTGCACCATCATGCCTTTTCTTTATTTTGGAGTGATACTATCATGTGTTTGGAGGATGACCGCTGTATAAAAAGTCCTGGCCATATCGTAGAGTGGTTGCGGAGTATTGCTCCTGGTGCCTGGATTTCTAATTACAGGAGGGTGTTGCCTTGGATTTTCTCATCGCTCCCAGAGCAAATACGCTTGTGCTGATTTATAATTTGATCAGCATCTAGCTCTGGTGAGTTTATTTCATTCATCTGGTGGTGGATTGAGCACGGTGGATTTATTTGATTTAAGAAGAAATAATTTGGGATTTTGGACTTTTGTATATGAACAATTTATGTTGAGACTCACTGGGGTTTCTTTTTTACAATATATATTTATAATCTTTGCACAGTTTTGCACGATATATGATATAAGCGCATTCTGATTTTGTTGTTTTTTACAGATTTTGATTGCATTGCCACCTATTGGTAAAAATACAATAGTTCTTTATTGGAACCATTGTATGAGGGCCCAGACAGATTGGTCAGGATCCAATGTGGCAAATTATATAATCAACAGAACAAGTTCTACTGTTTAGTTTGAAGGTTCCAGAAAATAGCTTTTATTACAAAGAAGGTACATGTTATGTACCTATTAATGACATTTATTTTGGCTCAGCTGACTACTGTATGTTGGGTGACATGGTATGGAAATGTTACGTCATTCACCACCTTCTCTTGTTTTATCTAATGCTAACTCAGTACTACCTTCTATGCTCCCAATATGTGTTGACATGTCTGTAAATCTGCAGTATTATTAGCATTATACCTGTTTGCATGACCGGAAGCAATAAAAAGTTACAACTACTATCACACAAATAGGCATGAATTTGTTACAATAAAACTGTTTGAATGGGTCTAAAATATATACAGTATAATATATACTGAGCTTGAGTACCATTGTTTACTTTTCTCTTTCATCATATAAATGAAATAAAGTCTAATGTATTCGCAGACCATTTTTCCAGCTGTCACCAGCCACAACTAGCCCAAGGATGAGTCATGCACAGTAGACAGTCAAAATTTTGGTTGTAGCCAAATTCTAATAATAATACAGGCTACTTAAAATCATACGACAAACTTCTCTTAAATATAGCTTTCAAAGTGTTATATCTGTTCGATAAGTCCAAAAAAATACCTGTTCACCTTGCCAGACGTCCTGTTTATGTCCTGTGCTTTTTTGCCTGTGCTGTTATCAGTTTTTTTCCGGGTACAGTATCTCCGAAGGCTACAAACTGCTTTCATCTATGTTATGGAAATGAGGAGACAGGGAGGTCTCTGTAGTTTTATCCTATTGCCAACACTGCTTTTTTCATATACAGTATACAGTGATTGTTGTCACCCTAAGACTAGAAGAATGTTACTGGCAGAATCACCAGGTAAATAAAACTTGAATAAAGAAAACCAATGCAGCCACCACATCTAAGGACTGGTAAATTGCAATATATTACATTTTTGTTCTTGGGTTTAGATATACTTTACTGCTATTTAAAAACTAATAGTTATGAAGACAATGATGACATTTTGTTTACAATGTAGAACCCAACACAATTCTGAAACCTTGTCAAGACATCTTCAGAGACAAAAATAAAGGTAAGAGTGAATGGATGGACGGACAGATGTAGAGATGCAGCAGAGGTCGGGGCTGACCAGGGGTGGACTCACAACTCATGGGCCCCCCCGGGCAATAGAGGATCATGGGGCCCCTGTGTCCTCGCCCACACTCAAACCACACCCAAAAAAGCCTATGAAAGGTACCAGGGGCATCTCATGGGGCCCCTTACTGACCCTGGGCCCTTGGGAAGTGCCCGAGTTTCCAAATGGTCAGCCCCCCCCCTGGGGCTGACAGCTTGTAACCTAGAAGCCAACACAGTCCAGTGGCCCATGGTAGAACACTACCAGCTCTATGTTTAAAAAAACACCAGATTATTGAAAAAATTGTGTAGCAATTGATGATGGTTCACCAACTTTATGCCAATGACTGCTGCACCAAAATTAAGGAAAATACAAACGTGATCATATACTTCTTCAGATATACTGTCAAGTTTTCAACCTTTTAGACTCCATTCACACTTAGGTGTTTCAAATCATGGGCAGATTTGATTCTGCCTTCGATTTTAAAACACATTCACGTGTTTAGGTGCTATTCCTTTCCAAGGCACCTGAAAACGCAGCATGTTTTTGCTGTGATCGTGGCAGGAAAAAGTTGCCATTGAAATAAATGGCACCTGAACACATGAATGCGCATTTTCACCGCACGTTTTCAAATCATGGTCAGAATCGCAGCGATTTGAAATACCTAAGTATGAGTGGATCTTTTTTGATCTTTATCATTTGTTCTCCATAATTATAGCCTTAGCATCTTAAAAACAAAGCATCTAGATGCATTCATATCAGTATCCACATTAAAAGAAAATTACAGTATGATGTCTTTACCCCAATATGAGTGAATATTGTCAGAGGCCAGTTAATCTACCTCTCACCCCTTGTGAGAACAATAAACTTAAAAATTTTTTTTTAAAAAAGTTAAAACAAAATAAAAATAAAATGTATTCAATTTTTTTTTTACCATAACCTCTTTCCCGGCACACACTTTCAAACGCAAACACACGCCTAAGGTCTACATGTGTATGTAAACTGCGGTCGCACCACATATGTGAAATATCGCCACAAACGTCAGAGAGGGAGCAATAGTTCTAGCAAAAGAGCTCCTGGTTACTTCTAAACTGATGTGCTATAAAGTCTTTTAAGGTGTCACCTGTGAAGAAATTTTGGCACCGTAGTTTTTTGTGATGTCACAGGAACACACAATTTTAAGAATTGACATGTTTGGTATCTATTTACTTGACGTAACTTAATCTTTTATATTTTACCAAAAAATTGGATATTATATTGTGTGTGTTTGCACTAAAATTCATTTTATTATATTTTTTCCTGAAAATTGGCGTTTGATAAACAGTTGGACAAATATTGTGTGAACATTTATTCTACAGTGCCCTCTGCTTTCAGAAAATATATAATGTTCTGGGCGTTTAAGTAATTTTATGGCCAAAAATGAAGAGTGGAAGCCTACCCTAGTGAACTGACAGTGCATTCCTTGTATGTTCCCAGAGGATCCACTACAATGCTAATGATATTAATGCCTGTCCTTTCTATCTGTTTAAAGTTAAAGTCTAGTTGAAACTTTTTTTTTTACATTTTGAATAGACTGGGAAAGGTTATAACTAGGGTTTCATTGATACTGGTATAGGTGCCAATACTAAGCATTTGTACGAGTATCGGTACTCCTGCAAATGCTCCGATACCTGAAACCGATACCTCAGTTTTTTCAGCTGTCACCAGCATTCCCCACTGACAGCTGAAATGTAAATAAAGAAAAAGAGCTAGTAATTACTGGTTGTTGAGAAGTGGGGCCACTGCATCCTTAACAACTGATGGCTTATTCAGCTGTCAGTGGGGTTCCCCTGCTGACAACTTAAAGCGGAGCTCCACCCAAAAGGGGAAGTTCCACTTTAAAGACTGGTCCCTTGCTCCCCATTAAGGATTGGCACCTTTGGGGAGTGGGGGGGAGCAGGTACCCACTCCCACTGCGATTGCCTAGGCCAGTGATGGCGAACCTTTTTGAGCCCGAGTGCCCAAACTGCAACCCAAAACCAACTTATTTCTTTCAAAGTGCCAACACTGCAATGAAACCTGAATATCGAGCTTTTGGTTTAGAAAAAACAACTCGTACAGTAGTGCAAACTAATTAACAGTACAGGGATGACCAGAGACCACAGTACAGGGATGACCAGAGACTGCGGACACAGTACAGGGATGACCAGAGACTGCGGACACAGTACAGGAGATGACCAGAGACTGCGGACAGTACAGGGGATGACCAGAGACTGTGGACAGTACAGGGATGACCAGAGACTGTGGACAGTACAGGGATGACCAGAGAGACTGCGGACACAGTACAGGGATGACCAGAGACTGCAGCCACAGTACAGGGATGACCAGAGACTGCGGACAGTACAGGGATGACCAGAGACTGCGGACACAGTACAGGGATGACCAGAGACTGCGGACACAGTACAGGAGATGACCAGAGACTGCGGACAGTACAGGGATGACCAGAGACTGCGGACACAGTACAGGAGATGACCAGAGACTGCGGACACAGTACAGGGATGACCAGAGACTGCGGACACAGTACAGGGATGACCAGAGACTGCGGACACAGTACAGGGATGGGATGACCAGAGACTGCGGACAGTACAGGAGATGACCAGAGACTGCGGACACAGTACAGGAGATGACCAGAGACTGCGGACACAGTACAGGAGATGACCAGAGACTGCGAACAGTACAGGAGATGACCAGAGACTGGGACAGTACAGGGATGACCAGAGACTGCGGACACAGTACAGGGATGACCAGAGACTGCGGACACAGTACAGGGATGACCAGAGACTGCAGACACAGTACAGGGATGACCAGAGACTGCGGACACAGTACAGGGATGACCAGAGACTGCGGACACAGTACAGGGATGACCAGAGACTGCGGACACAGTACAGGGATGACCAGAGACTGCGGACACAGTACAGGAGATGACCAGAGACTGCGGACAGTACAGGGATGACCAGAGACTGCGGACACAGTACAGGAGATGACCAGAGACTGCGGACACAGTACAGGGATGACCAGAGACTGCGGACACAGTACAGGGATGACCAGAGACTGCGGACACAGTACAGGGATGACCAGAGACTGCGGACACAGTACAGGGATGACCAGAGACTGCGGACAGTACAGGGATGACCAGAGACTGCGGACACAGTACAGGGATGACCAGAGACTGCGGACAGCACAGGGATGACCAGAGACTGCGACAGTACAGGGATGACCAGAGACTGCGGACACAGTACAGGGGATGACCAGAGACTGCGGACACAGTACAGGGATGACCAGAGACTGCGGACACAGTACAGGGATGACCAGAGACTGCGGACACAGTACAGGAGATGACCAGAGACTGCGGACACAGTACAGGGATGACCAGAGACTGCGGACACAGTACAGGAGATGACCAGAGACTGCGGACATAGTACAGGGATGACCAGAGACTGCGGACACAGTACAGGGATGACCAGAGACTGCGGAACACAGTACAGGAGATGACCAGAGACTGCGGACAGTACAGGGATGACCAGAGACTGCGGACAGTACAGGGATGACCAGAGACTGCGGACACAGTACAGGGATGACCAGAGACTGCAGACACAGTACAAGGATGACCAGAGACTGCGGACAGTACAGGAGATGACCAGAGACTGCGGACAGTACAGGAGATGACCAGAGACTGCAGACACAGTACAGGGATGACCAGAGACTGCGGACAGTACAGGAGATGACCAGAGACTGCGGACAGTACAGGAGATGACCAGAGACTGCGGACACAGTACAGGGATGACCAGAGACTGCGGACACAGTACAGGGATGACCAGAGACTGCGGACAGTACAGGGATGACCAGAGACTGCGGACACAGTACAGGGATGACCAGAGACTGCGGACACAGTACAGGGATGACCAGAGACTGCGGACAGTACAGGATGACCAGAGACTGCGGACAGTACAGGAGATGACCAGAGACTGCAGACACAGTACAGGGATGACCAGAGACTGCGGACAGTACAGGGATGACCAGAGACTGCGGACTACAGGAGATGACCAGAGACTGCGGACAGTACAGGAGATGACCAGAGACTGCGGACACAGTACAGGAGATGACCAGAGACTGCGGACACAGTACAGGACATGACCAGAGACTGCGGACAGTACAGTATGACAGAGAGATGACCAGAGACTGCGGACAGTACAGGAGATGACCAGAGACTGCGGACACAGTACAGGGATGACCAGAGACTGCGGACAGCACAGGGATGACCAGAGACCGGACAGCACAGGGATGACCAGAGACTGCGGACAGCACAGGGATGACCAGAGACTGCGGACAGCACAGAGATGACCAGAGACTGCGGACAGCACAGGGATGACCAGAGACTGCGGACAGCACAGGGATGACCAGAGACTGCGGACAGCACAGGGATGACCAGAGACTGCGGACAGCACAGGGATGACCAGAGACTGCGGACAGCACAGGGGATGACCAGAGACTGCGGACAGCACAGGGATGACCAGAGACTGCGGACACCCCCCCCCCCCCCCCCCCCCCCCCCCCCCCCCCCCCCCCCCCCCCCCCCCCCTGTACAGAGATGACTGCTGACCTTTGGGGAGGGAGGGGGAGCGGGTACCTGAATTTGACAGGTACCCGCTCTTACTTCCGCAGAGTTTTTTTTTTTTATCTTACCTGTTCCTTTATCCAGCCGCGCGCTGTCTTTCCCGGCTTCTGTAGTGTGGGCGCTCGTCGGACAGCCGGATGCCCAGTGCGCATGCGCGCGAGAAGCGCTGCGCTTTGTGATTGGTCCGGCGGCTTCTGGGATCTGTCATGTGTCCCAGGTACCGCCTTACCATTCACAAAGAGCACTGCTTCTTGTGCATGCGCACTTGGGACCCGGCTGTCACGCACACTACAGCCGGGAAGACAGCGTGCCGCTGGATTCTCCTGGCGTGCCCACAGATAAGGCTCGGCGTGCCGGCTGTGGCACGCGTGCCACGGGTTCGCCATCACTGGCCTAGGCGATTGGAAGTGGAAGTTATCCTCCTACCCTCCCTCCCCGTAGTTTTATGGGACATGTGACAGGTCCCAGAAGACTACGAGGCCATTCAGGAAGCACAGCGCTACTCACTCATGTGCAGTGGGCACCCAGCTGTGAAGCCTCAAGCTGTCACAGCAGGGTGCCCACACTGAAGATGCTGGAGCCTGGAACACCAGACAGCTGGTGAAACGAGCTGCTGGAAGGACACCGCGGGATCGTGGGACAGGTAAGTGGCTGTTTTTTAAAAGTCAGCAGCTACAGGTTTTGTAGCTGCTGACTTTTATTTTTTCACAGCGTGAATGGAACTCCACTTTAAGTGTAAACAAGTACAGGCAATTGGAGCTGTAAAAAAAAAAGCACCCTGAAAATGTTTATCAACAACACTGGTTAGCTGCTAGAGCAGAAAGATAAAAAGAAACATTGTTACATTTTGCATCTTTCTATTTATTCATCTACAGATCAACTTTGATCTGCAGATGAAGTCAGTTAAAGCAGTGGTAAACTCGAAAGAAAATAAAAAATTTTTCCCCTTAATGTGCTAGTATGCATTGCATACTAGCTCATTATTTGATACTTACCTTTAAATGAAGCCCTCCAGAGGGGCGCTGTCAACGCTGACAGGACTTCCATCTTCACCCGGTCTTCCTTCTGGTTTCAAGGGGTTCCTTTGGATTGGCCTAGCCACGATGACGTCACTCCCGCACACACGTGCAAAAGTCACTGTTTACAGCACAGTGCTCTGAAGGAACGACATGAGTATGATGCTCCTTCAGAGCGCATGCGCCGTTGACGTCACCAGCAGCTTTACAAGTAAATATCTCCTAAATGGTGCACATTTAGGAAATATTTACAGTACCTACAGGTAAGCCTTATTATAGACTTACCTGTAGGTAAAACATAACCAAAAGCCTTTACTACCATTTTAAAAGTAACCTGTCAAGTACAAAAAAAGGTGTTTTTCTCTGTTTAACCCTCTTATTAACCCTTAATTTACTCTAATTAGCCCTAATTAACTCTTTATTCTCCTCCATTTAATTATTATTTTCCTGCTGATTTTTTTGTTGCTCATTCCTATTTTATACACTATTAATAATTAAAACTTTTTGGGGGGATTTTGTTTGCATTGTTTGTTAATATTTTTACACCTTTATTTAAACAAAATACATTTATTTCGTTAGTAAATAACTTTTCAATGCTTTGTACCAGAATCATAATTTTAGTGTCATTGTAAACAGGACAAATTACATAAATAAATGCACTCTTTTTAAGTGCAGTAACACTTTTTATTTTTAAACTAACACTGCTCAAAAAAGTACGTTTTTTTTGTAGTTTTGTTACATTTAATTGTCTAAGGATTTTGAAAGACAATATTCAGGAAAAGAAAACCTTGTTTGTCTTTATGTATTACGTTGTTATCTTAAGTCAGGGGTCCTCAAACTACGGCTGGATACAACCCACCAAAGCCATTTATCCGGAAAAAAAAAATTAGAACCCCCCCACCACCAAAAAAAAATAGCTAGGCTGCTCACTGGGTCCTCGGCCTCAAGGACCCAGCGAGCGGCAGCTTGGAAGCCCCTGATTTCCCCGGTGCTGCAGCCAGAGGAGCAAAAGGAGAGGAGGAGAGCACACCAGGCACCAGGTACAGTGCATTGCAGTGTCCAGTGTGTCAGTGTACAGTGCATTGAGGTGTTCAGTGTGTCAGTGTACAGTGCATTGCGGTGTCCAGTGAATTACAGAGTACAGTGCACTGTGGTGTCCTCTTTCTAGCAGAAGCCTGAAGGTTAAGTGTCAATATTGATGTGTATTTGTCTCCCAAAGCATTATGCTGCCACCACCATGCTTCACTGTGGGTATGGTGTTCTTTTGGTGATGCGTAGTGTTGTTTTTGTGCCAAACATATATTTTGGAATTATGGCCAAAAGGTTCAACCTTGGTTTCATCAGACCATAGCAAATTTTTTTCCCATCCTACACCCCCACTGGGAATCGGGAAGGGGACTTGGGGAATATTTTGTGTGGAAATTATTGTTATGCAATGTGTTGACATAAAATGGTTTTGTATTGATAAACAATTTAATAAAGATATAATAAAAAAAGACCATAACACATTTTCACACATGCTTTTGGGAGACTTCGGATGTTTTTTGCAAAATTTAGCCAGGCTTGGATATTTTTCTTTGGAATAAAAGGCTTCCATCTTCCCACTCTACCCCATCGCCCAGACATAATGTATGAAGAATACGGGAGATTGTTGTCCCATGTACCACACACCCAGTACATGCCAGATATTCCTGCAGCTCCTTTAATGTTGCTGTAGGCCTCTTGACAGCCTCCCAGACCAGTTTTTTTCTCGCTTTTTCATCAATTTTGGAGGGACGTCCAGTTCTTGGTAATGTCACTGTTGCACCATTTTTTCTCCACTTGATGATGACTGTCTTCACTGTGTTCCATTGTAAATCTAATGCCTTGGAAATTCTTTTGTACTCTTCTCCTGACTGATACTTTTTAACAATGAGATCCCTCTGATACTTTGGAAACTCTCTGTGGACCATGGCTTTTGCTGTAGGATGCGACTAAGAAAATGTCAGGAAAGACCTACTTCAACAGCTGAACGTCATTTTGGGGTTAATCAGAGGCACTTTAAATGATGGCAGGTGTGTACTGACTGCTATTTAACATGATTTTGAATGCGATTGCTTAATTCTGAATACAGCTACACCCCCAGTTATAAGAGGGTGTGCACCAGGCCCAGACTGGCCATAGGGCACAGCGGGGCATTTGCTCAGTGGGGCAGGGCTGTCTGGATAGGAGCGGCCAGGTGGCACATAGAGGAACCGGTCCGTGCATTTCTTGGTTCCTCTATGTGCCGCCCGACCACCCCTCCTATCCATCTCATGCTGCCCTGAGCTCCTGTATGCTCCCATGGCCACCCCCTCATCTCCTGCAGCGCTGCCACCAGGTTCCTCCCTCCCTACAGCTGCTGTGGGGGATCCCTCTTTCTTTCTCTCCTTCTTTTCTTCACTCTTTCTTTCTTTCCTTCCCTCTTTCTTTCTCTCCTTCTTTCTTTCCCTACTTCTTTCTTTCCCTCCTTCCTTCTTTCCCTTTTTCCCCTCCTACCCTCTTTCACTCCTTCTCTTTCCTTCCTTCCTTCTTTCTTTCCATCTTTTCCTCCTTCCTTCCTTCTTTCATTATTTCCCTTTCTTTCCCTCCTTCCTTCTTTCTTTCTCTAGTTATTTCCCTCTTTGTTTCCCTCCTGCCTCCTTTCCAACCTTCCTTCTTTTCCTCTTTCTTTCCCTCCTTTCTTTCTCTCCTTCCATCTTTCCCTCAGTCCTTCCTTTTTTTTTCTTCCTTCCTTCTTTCCCTCCTTCCTTCCCTTCTTTCTTTCACTCCTATAAAAAAATAATGAAATATAAAATTGTAAAAAATAAAATAAAAAACCTACTGACACTAGTGGTGGAACTACCAGGGTGGCAAAGGTCTCTCTTGTGATTGGGCCCTGGCATTCTGCCACTGGGCTCTGAGGAAAAGGTCCTCGGCTTGGGGCTGCTCAGTCCAAAATGCCCGGGCCTATTTTTTTATTTTTTGTCTCAGTCCGGGCCTGGTGTGCACACTTATGCAACCACATTATTGTAGTTTTTTGTTTACTTTTACCCCTAAAAGATTTCAGTTTGTTTTTCAATTGAGTTGTACAGTTTATAGGTCACATTAAAGGTGGAAAAAATTCTGAAGTGATTTATCTTTTTCTCATTTTTTTTACATCACAGAAACCTGACATTTTAACAGGGGTGTGTAGACTTTTTATATTCACCATAGCAGGCAATCTCTGCTGCAGGAATACAGCAATAAATAAAAGAACAGCAATCCTAAGTCTTTCTATCCAAAATTTTGGTTGGAATTATATCTTAAAATATCCTCTTTGATATGTTTATATTATCATGTCATTTTTCTCCTATATCTGGAAAATGTCAAGGTCTGAATGATGAAAGTTGCATTTCCACAAATTTTCGAAAAACATTTAACTGTAGTGGTAAAATAACATGCATTTCTTTTGTGCCATCTGATTTCAGCTCAAAATTACAGGTGTCAGTTTTGACTCTGTTATCCACCTCAGATATCATTTACTTTATCCATAAACTTTCACACTTTCTACCAGGAATACTAGATCATTTTCATTAACAGCTTTTAGTTTTGGAATGTGCCTTCTTTCAATATCTGTCAAGCATCACTCATCCCTAATCTCTTTAGGGTAACATTTCAGCAGTTACTCTTACAGATTAAATATTTTGTATACATATTTAAATGTACCCATTTTGAATGTTTAATATGTTCACTAGACTTCTGCCTCTGTCAAATTAAGCTTCATAACCTGATTATTTCTAATATACTTAGATTTGCATGAATGCAAG